AATTTTCAATTTCACAGGATATCTTTCCGCTTTTCAAAAATTCAGTGTTTAAACAATATTTAGATTGATTAGCCAATTAAAAAAAGTTAAAATTGAAATTATTTTAAAAAAAAAAGTACAACGGCGGTATCGAACCCCGGCTGTCGGCGTGGTAGGCAAGCACGTTACCATTGAGACAACGCGCTCATTTAAAAATATAAATTCATTAGTGGTATATATTCAACATATTGAATAATTTTTTTCATTGAAATTCCACAAGATCTGACTTCTCCCTTCCGCTCGTTCGACAGTCAGCTAAATTTTAGACGGACACCCCAGCATTGCGTGTTGCGCCCTCCCTCTCGTGGGGTGCAGTACTCCCATGCAGCTGGGGTCACTCAAACCCCCAGAATTGAGCCTCCACTTTACTCAATCCTCTTTGTTCTGACCTATCCGCTACAGTAAGGTTTCAGCGCGGGTTCAACATGAATCCTGATAGTTCCTGAGAATTCCTCACCTTTTTCCCCCATTTAACCATTAACTCCTTTCCAAAATCAATGAACAATTACTACTAGCGTCCTATAAGTTTATCTTTTTTATGTTCTGTCCTTGGAATTATCGTTTGTCAACCAACGAGTGCAATAATGCCGAAATGAAAATTTGGAGGTTATCAATTGTTGCTTACGCCGGTTGACAGTGGCTAATTGTTTGTATGTAAACACAGATTATAGAAAGACAAATTCACTTTTACATTCAACATATGAAGAGTTCGATCAGTAAACAAGGGAATATGGCATTCGTGCTTGATAATGGAGCTTATACCATCAAAGCTGGATTTTCCAACGGTCCTCCTCAGATAATTCCAAACTGTATAATGAAAGCGAAGAGTGAACGTCGTCGTCCCTTCATTGGCAATCAGATAGAGGACTGTCGTGATGCCTCAGGTCTGTTCTACATGCTGCCATACCAGAAAGGATATCTCGTCAACTGGGACGTCCAAAAAACAGTGTGGGATTACATATTCTCCAAGGACTGCCTATCAACTTCGCTGAACAACTGTCCAACAATAATAACAGAGCCTCCCTTCAATTTTGCTCCAATCCAGGAGGCAATGGTGGAGATATTCTTCGAGGAATACGAGTGTCCAAGTCTTCTGCTGGTCAATGCATCAAGTCTCTCTCAGTACCATTATAAATTCCTGCACCCTGAGACAAAAGCATGTCTTGTAGTGGATTCTGGTTACAGCTTCACGCATATTGTTCCTTACGTCAACGGCGTCAAGGTAAAGGAAGGAATCAGGAGAGTCGACGTCGGGGGTAAACTTCTCACTAATCATCTCAAAGAAATAATCTCCTATCGTCAGTTGCACGTCATGGACGAGACTTACGTCATCAATCAGGTGAAGGAGGATTCGTGCTTCGTTTCTCAGGACTTCTTCAAGGACATGGAGAGAGCCAAGACCAAAGTGGAGAGTAATCCTGTCGTTAAGGATTACGTTCTGCCTGATTACACATCTTTGAGGCGGGGATTTCTCAAGGATCCAGAGCCCCAGAGTGAACACCAAACGCTCAGACTCAATAATGAACGATTCGCTATTCCTGAGATTCTTTTTAATCCCTCGGACGTTGGGATCAGGCAAATGGGAATCCCAGAGGCCATCGTCGATTCTATCAAAGCCTGTGAGGAAGAAACCTGGCCACATCTTCTGGCGAATATCGTTCTTACTGGGGGTAATTGCAAGTTCAGTGGATTCCACGAGAGAGTTTACAAAGATCTCAGGAGTTTGTCCCCTGATGAGTTCAAGATTAATGTCAATTTCCCAGAGAATCCGGAAAGTTATGCCTGGGAGGGAGGAAAATTATTCGCTGGGGATTCGTCAATGAAGACTTTTTTATCAACCAGGGAGGAGTATGAGGAGGAAGGACCTGGTTTTTGCTGCGACAAGTTCAGTGGCTGTATGTAGATTTAATACGATTTTATAGAGATTAAAATTTTTACATAAAAAGTTGTAATTATTTTATGCATTTTTTCTTTATTTCTGGGGATGTTACTCAAAATCGTAATCAATGGTTTCTAATTTTACCCGTCAAAAAGTATTAAAAATGATCTTTTAAGGAAATTATTAACCATTTTGTAAAGCTAGAATTAGTGCTTTGGAGTCTTCATCTTGGATAGCTGTTCTGCATCGAGCCACTGCATTCGTCGATGCTCTGCCAACTGTAATTAGTGCTCCATCATTGAAGAGAATGCAAAAATTCTATAGACAATCATTACCTCGTAATCGTGCGGCATAACGAACTCCAACATTGAGTTCCTTCAGAGTGGCTGATAATTCTTTACTACTGTTCATGCGAATTTCGTGCTCCCTCATCAGGTCACTGTTGATTGTCTTCAACTGATGGAGACGTTTCCTCATTCCCTCCACGTCCTCTAGAATCCTAGCATCTTCGAATCTTATCACAAGGTTCTTCAAGAGAGTGGATCCACCAGCCGCATCAGCTTGAAGTCGTGCTTCCACTTCTCTCAAGCCTAAAATCAAGAGGGTAAGAATTTTAAACAATTGTAAATAACGAGAAATGGTTTTAAAAATTGTTTGTACCTTTAACTCGTTCTAAAGCTGTACTTAATTTGCGTTCCTCAGATGGAAATCTCGCCTCTGAGGTGAGTTCTTGAATTCCCAGGTACATTGCCAGTGATTGAATTATATCACCAGCGAAACTCGGGTCCTCGCTTTGGATGCTAGCTCTACCGTCTGCACTTGCACGCAGGCAGTGAATTTTATTATCCCTCATGCCCCTCAACCAGACCTCGATGAATCTAGCCCCAGGGCCATCCTCATCCACTTCTAATTCCTCTGATAGCAACAGACTCTGGTTCAACCACAGAGCAACTCGTTGAGGTCTCTCTACAATCTTCAAAAAATCATCAATTATTTTTATAATAATCCCATTATTTATTCATAATGTTCTGCTTACTTCGAAGATAACTCCACAACTTCTCAATTCTTCAGATACAGTCGCTGGTTTTGGAATTATTTCGTACATACAAAATCTTGGGAGTTGGTGCATCACTTCGATCACCTGGAAATTATAAAAAAAAATTTTTCGTATCACACCTTTTGATACTTCAATGAAGAATCCATCAATTAATTGCTTCAGTTACCTGAAATAAATCCGTGTTATCAGTCCCCAAGCAAACTTTAACGTGCAAGTCGACAACGGAATTCTTAGACGGTCTTAGTTCAATCTCCAGCTCTCCAACCGGTCTTCTAGGATGTGCCACAAGTGTTTCCCCATCGAAGACTCCCTCCGCGAAAACAATAGCACAATGTATAAGTAATCCTGGACCAGAGGCTAGAGCGAGTCTCGCAGCTCCACGTCCAGCAAAGAGACTTGTCAATAATTTCGTTGTCAGATGACTCTGAAATGGAGCACCACGATGTCGCATCTCTGTTAAGAGGGTTTGCCTCCTCGCCAGAAGTTTTCTCATGAGTTCTCCAGGCTCTGGAGTCTCCACTATCGATCCTGATGCATATCCCCGCACTGGGAATTCCCAAAATCCAATTTCCTCAATTAATTTCTATGGTATTTCATGGAAACATTTCCTTTACCTTCTCCAGCTATTGAGACTATCACCAAATCAGGTATTCCAGTTCTCCTGTAATCAGCCTCAACGAGACCAGCGATTCCAGCAGTCATTTGAATCTTGAATAAAACATCTCCATTTATGCAGGACCTCGCGTCGACTTTGCCACTGCTCCATCCGGTTACCAACTCATTGGTTCCATCACCGTTGACGTCATAGCTTCGTACAGAAATGACTTTGTGCTTCGACTGGACAAAAATCAAAAACAACATTTAATAAAATCCCGACAGAAACAATGAGACATACTTTAATTCTCCAGAGCCTCTGTCCTCTCTCGTAGATCCCAACGATTCCATTTGCAACGACATATGCAAATTGTCTACCAGGAAGAGGTACGAGAGCTGTTACAGGTCCAGTCTCTTTGGTCTCCCAGAGAACCGAGTCCTCTTTCAACGCTTTAATCTCGCAATCTTCAGTCCCAGCCAATAACTGATGATGGAGTAATCTTTATTAGTTAGATTAAACTAGAATAGATGGATATTTATGAGTACCTCGTTTTCTCCGTCACCGTCGAAATCGAGAACAGCGATCGATCGAACAATGTCACCCATGACTGTCCAGTACACCTCATTACCTTCAGAATCCAATACTGTTATCGAACAATTACCACCAATTATTGCTACCTGATTTGGGAGCCAACTGAGTTTGCCAATTGTCATTGAAAAAGCTCCATCAGATACCTAAAAAAATTGTCTTGTACTCCCCAACAAGAATCTCGTACCTGATCTACGATTTTTTTGGAGTGGAAAAATTACTTATTTGTAAAATGATTTTAAATCATTTTTTAAATCGAATAAAAATGAAAACAGTGTATTATAACAGGCTAGAGTATATCAGTTGAAACAGAAAAAAAAAAATTATTTTCCCTCCCCAAAAAACATAGATCAGACCCTTTGGATTTTTTTTTTTGCATTTTTTAAACGAAAATTTTTACCTCTTTGTAAAATAAATCGGTATTATCCTCGACCTGATACGCCAGAACATGTGTAACAGTCCCAATGAGTAGAATGTCTCTCTCATCCTCTGTCAAACGACCTGTACATAGAGACATCACCTGGAATGGTCATAAATTTCGGAATTCACTGTTAAAAATTCTGCAACTGCTGTTGCATTTATAAGGAATTTAATAAACTGAAATGACCTGTCGCCCAATTTGCAATTCGGCGATTTCTCCGTTCCACTCGAGTCTCTTCTCCAAATTCTCATGATGACTCTCAGTTATGTCAGTGGGTGGCTGCCTGTGAGGACTATGGACCACAATATTCCCAGCTGAAGTAGCAAACACGAGACAGGCATGAGAACCATCAAATTTGCCGCAGCTAACAAGCGCCGGCTCAAATTTTCTCTGTAAATTCAACGAAAATGCTGCCATTTCCCCGAGGCATTAATGACAACTGTTTTCTGACGAGGTATCACCTGTTTCACCTGCGTTGTCTCAATTATTGATTTTCCTCCACCCTCAGCCCGGAATAAACGTACTCGTGTTTGCATTGAAAAATTTATTGATACAATTCATAAGAAATACGTTGCAATGACGTGAACATAATGAAATGATAGAGGAAATATCGAATAGAATTAATTTTCTAATTATCTGGAGATTATCATTGCCTCTGGCCTCCATTGCCAGCTCCACCTGCTTCGGGATTCGTCGCCGATGACAGAACGAAGAATATCAGAGCAGGAATTATATACATCCACTGCGAAATAAAAAATTCAATCAATGCATAAACAAATAACATTTTCAATTCACGTTAATGCAATAAATGTCTTACGTATTTAGCAAAAAATGATCTGTTGTCTTTGGTTTCTCCTCTCTCCCTGGCTTCTTTCTCACGCTCCAATTTATAAATGTACGAGGCAGTATCAGGTATAGGTCCCCCATCAGGATATCGTACCTGAACACTACTCGTCCACATCGAGGTAGTGGGTGTATCTAGACTACAGGGACCTGGCGAAACCTGAGTTATTGACACTGGATCTGCCCCTGCATCCAGCCAAATCGTGATGATGTCCTCGAGTTCAGTTCCTAATAAATGGCACTGTAAATATAAAGAGATAATAATCAGCTCAACCGTCTAATTATTTTTCCTGAATTATTGCACAATTACCGCAGGTACTGATGTGTAAAGTGTCGTCTCTGCACCCGATGATCCTTTGATCACAGCTTTCAAACGATATTGCCTGGAATTTTGCGCGAGTTTCGTCAAACTATTCACTTGTGAGGGCTGCAGGCCCATTTGACCTATTGTTGAAGCACCTGTTCGGATACTAGTTACTGTGATGTTTCCTCTTTCAGCAAAGTGAGGGACTGGATCATCATTCAGTGCGTGGTACAGCCGAATTTGTAACCAGCCATCATAGTCCAGCTCACTCTGCAATCATAAAATCCATGAATAAAAATAATTGTCATCTCCATGGTAGTGTAATTAAATTGAAATGCCCAGCTTGCGACGTTTTCTCTTGATCTTGTTGGTAACACCAAATCATCATCAAGAAATTTTCACTCACCCCAATGACACATGACAATGCGCAAATCAAAACGACTGACAAGAGCAACGACTTCATGATTACTTCAACAAATCACTCTTTGGTATCTATCACTAATTGCTGCACTAATGGCATGAATATATTAGCTAAAACACTTGAAAATGTGTTTTTCTAACCGCGAGTGGTTTGCATTCAGGACATTATTCTTTACTTGATAATTTCGTAATTTCGTCTGAAGAGGGCCAGACCAAAAAACACTACAGGACAAATCTCAATAAATTATTCTAGCTTTTTCACATTTATATTGACTCATGAGAAAAAAATCATATTGAACAGCTGATAATGCATCTGATCTAGGGGTAAAATTATCAGTGGAAAGGGTAAAATTCCTGGAAGGCTGCTCCAAAATGGTTCCAAAATATGAACCAAACAAGAAACACGTGGAAACTCCAGATAAGTCGAAACGGCTGGAACTGAAACGTCACAGAAGCAGTCAAGATGGCACGTCAGCAGGGTGATGTTGACGAGTTATTTGACGTTAAAAATCACTTCTACATCGGTAATTACCAGCAATGCATCACCGAGGCTCAAAAAGTGAAGGTAATAACCTGTGAAACCAATAAATCCCAAGAAATCTCTATACAAAAACATTAATAACCTCAAACTTCCAAGAATGAGGCTACACCCATGTATTATGCCGCATTGCACATGCTCTCATTACTAATTGTCATTATCTGCCTCTAATTATCATTATCTGAAGAAAAAAATACCATATCATTCCCCATGTCAATAAAAATTGAAAAGTTGTCGGAAGGAAAAATGAATTGTCCAGCCTTATTCTGGAGAGATTGAAGGTGCATAGGGTTCACCTGCAGTATGTCGCATTGCACATGACATTCTCATTGTTTATTCAATAATAATCGATAATTAATTGGTAAACAGCCCTCATCGTCGGATGTAGCCCTGGAGAGGGACGTTTTCCTTTACCGTGCGTACATCGCCCAGAGGAAATTTCGAGTTGTCCTGGATGAGATAAATAACTCATCACCAGTCAATCTCCAACCTCTCAAGCTGTTGGCTGAGTACTTTGCGACTCCTGGAAAACGAGATGCTATTCTCAATGAGCTGGATAAGAATTCTGGTAATTTTGGAGATAACCACAATGGAATGATCGTCGCTGCGACTATTTATTACCACGAGAAGAATCTGGAGTCAGCCCTGAGGGTTTTGCACAGCGCTGAGAATCTCGAGTGCATGGCCCTCACTCTTCAGATTTATTTGAAGATGGACAGGTTGGATCTTGCCAGGAAGGAGCTCAAAGCCATGCAGGAGAAGGATGATGATGCTACGTTGACTCAACTTGCTCAGGCCTGGGTTAACATCAGCAGTGGAGGTGACAAACTCCAGGATGCTTATTATATCTTCCAGGTTTGTTAACAAATTGGTAGCATTGGAGATTTTTATTATTTCCATTTTTTTTCGACTAAATGCGTAATTCACGGTTCACAATGCTCCTCAGGAAATGATTGACAAACACTCCAGCACGAGTATGCTACTAAATGGCCAAGCAACTTGTTTCATTGGTCAAGCTAAATACGAAGAGGCGGAAACAGCCCTTCAAGAATCCCTCGACAAGGACAGCAATAACCCTGACACTCTAATCAATATGATTGTTCTGTCACAGCACATGGGAAAGCCCCCAGAGGTTGCCAACCGGTACTTGAGTCAGCTCAAGGATTCAAATCTTGAACATCCATTTGTCAAGGAGTATCTCCAGAAAGAAATTGAATTCCAGAGGTTGAAGAATCAGTACTCCCTCTCAGCATAAATCCCCTTTCCCCAAATTGTCTCATTCGATTGAAAAAAAAAACGAGTAGAGTATGGGGCATTCCATTATTAAAATTACAGATCACAACAGTGTTGCTGCCATTTTGTAATTGAACATTTATAAGAGACTAATGAGTAATTGATTCACTGGAAATATTTCCTATACTTTTAGTACGTTTATCTCATTATATTACCATTATAATATATTATAGTTACAATTTCAAATAAAGAGGAGAAAGTATTCGAGAATTTTTTTATCTTTTTATTGACTTTTCATATTTTTACATCTCACTGTTATTTCACAATGTTTAAATTGCATTTGTATATTATCGATCGAATGAGTTCAATAACTTCGTCTGCAAATCAGTGTTTGAGAAATAGGTATTTATAAAATAACAACTCCGCGGTTCCCCAAATATTATGACAATCACGCGAAAACATCAAAAGATAAACACCACATAGAACCCTGACATTGGCTCACCTCTGACGTTGCATTCCGGCGCTCCAGTCAGCTGTTTTGACCCGTCATTGCTTCCCCATTCAAAACAAACATCAAAAATATTCCTGGAACTCACAATCATCTATTTCTCCGAAAAATCTGCCAGTGAATGACCGGAAAACTCAAAATTTTTGTTCATTGCATGCTGAGGTCAACTAAAGATTTGGAAATCCTGACAATTTAGAAAATCAAAAAAATTTGTAGAAGCAGAATAAACATAACCTCGAGGATTATCTAGGTATTATACATTTGATTCCTCTAATGATCCCCAGATGTTCCTCCCATTAGCTTCATTTATCTCCAGAACCCCTAAAAAATTCGGAAACCCCAAGCGCCCCGTCATGTCAGCCCAGATATCTTTAGACGAGCGGATGTTAAAATCCGTCCGAAGAATAGTTCCATCCTTGAGTACAACGAAATATAAAGGTCAGGATGGTAGGATTGCGATCGTTGGAGGGAGCACAGAGTACACAGGAGCGCCGTTTTTCGCAGGTGAGAATAAAAATTCAGTAGAAATTTTTGTAGCACAGAACTTGCCATTTTTCTCTGCAGGAATGAGTGCCTTCAGAACAGGAGCAGACCTGGTGCACATTTTCTGTACAAAAGACGCCGGTGGTCCGATAAAATCCTTCAGCCCAGATCCCATTGTTCACCCGATCCTGGACCACCACGACGCGATAAGACAGATAAAACTCTGGCTGGACAGGCTGCACGTGATCTTGATAGGGCCAGGTCTGGGTCGTGACGAGAAGATTTTCAAGACAGTGTCAGAGTTGATTGGTATCTGCAGAGATCTCAAGAAACCATTGATAATCGACGCAGACGGTCTGTACCTCATTTCTCAGAAGCCTGAATTGGTCAAGGACTACCCAGGACTTATCCTGACACCAAATGCCATGGAGTTCAGTCGTCTGATGAAGGCCTTTCTGGATAGAACAGTCCAGCCAGTTCCAGTGGTGAAGATCTCAGAGTTGAAGCACCTGGCGGATTCCATCGGGAAAAACGTCGTGATCCTGAATAAAGGGGCGAAGGATACGATTGTTGATGGCCATAAGGGAACGGAAGCTCTCTGTTGCGCTATTTCTGGATCAGGGAGACGATGTGGCGGCCAGGGGGACCTTTTGGCTGGTGCTCTGGCTGTATTCTGGTGGTGGGGTATCACTGCTGGCCCCAGTGAAATGGCACTCTCAGCTCCCATGACAGCTGCCTACGCAGCATCGAGACTAACCAGAGAATGCAATGCTGCTGCCTTCAAAGAGAAGGGAAGAAGCATGCTGACGACTGATATGATTGAACATATACAACCAGTCTTCAACAGACTCTTTGAACCTCCGATCAACAACAAGTGAGATGTTGTGAGATGTTGATGGCTCGTGTGAATTATTACTCCGATCCAATTGGTCCTCTCAAAGCCACATTTGTTGTTTTTTTTTTTTTAGTCTGAGGATATTTTTGTGGGATTAGTTTTTAAACCCCATCAATCGAATTCAATATCGTACTGCGAAATAATTAAAAGTCCCACCAAAATATCTTTCTACGATTTTTCAGAATCAATTTGTTATTTGCGAATGTGAATTTCGCCGACTTTTATACCCCATGCTGATTGTTGAGTAAATATTTTTCACTGTTGCTGAATTTTATTTTTAGATCCCTCTCCCTGAGCGGACGAATACGCATGAAGAGTTCTGACACTTGAGATTGAGATTTGAGGCGTGAGATTTCTCGGAGAAGAAAAAAACGAAGACACAAGAGTATTTAAATTTCGTATTTTATCTTATTCAATTAATAAGTGATTCATTGCCTACAGAAACGGATATACATTTAGAAAATAATAAATACTGTCGTGTTGCATTTTAAGTAATCGTATAGTTACAGATTATGGATTGAACTTGAGTTCGATTACGTCTACAGCTGCTCAATGAGCTTTTCATTAAGTATATACACATGTTTTCGTCTAAATAACTGGATATTTAGGGATTGAAATAAATATGGGAGATGATTTAAGGGTATATATTGGAGGCATTGACGGTAAAAATACTGTGGGAGTTCTGAGGGTGAGAGAGCAGCACTGGGTTTTTCATTACCCATGAAACATTTTTTCTCTGGTGTCGATTTGTTGCTCATTTTTCTATTAATTATCGACACATTCATCGGGAAATTATGAGATTATTCGTACGTATGACTGCATCGTGTATTACATGACTACGAATAGAATGTTAAGACGGATGCCTGATTTCCTCGGATGAGGAGAGTCGGCGGCATATCGGCGGTCAGGGCCTCCAGCCACGCCATGTAAAGTGGTGCCGAGACTGCCCCCTTCCTCGGCATCGGGAGAGACCTGCAGATCATTTTTTTTTTTTGTTCAAATCATTCAGAGATCATCAATTAAATTTTCTTACATCACGACTAATGTCGATTGACTAGAGTTTTCCAAGAGCAGTTCCCTAAGACGCAGCTGTCGATACGTCTTATCCCTCAGTGTCTGCAGTTCCAATTCTGTTATCAGACAGTCTGGGGAGCCATTCGATTCGTTTTTACGGAAATCAGCGACGAGCTTGTCGAAGAACTCCTGAGTTTCCGGTTTCGGCCGAACGCTGATGTCATCCACCATTTTCAAGCTCTCGTACTTAATCCGAAATTTAGCCATGATTTCTGCCATTCTGGAGGATGAAAAAAATATTTAATTATCGGTGAGTGGATGAAGTTGTATTTGTGAGAATTATGATGGAATTAATCTCACTCTTTCTCCTGTGCTCCAATTTCCTGTTTGTGATTCGCTAGGGCAAATATCCTCATCTTGCAATGCTCCCAATTTGTCCTTGTACTGATGATGTATGGTAATAGGATCGTTAATCCTGGAAATTGAGAGGTCTACCACTTAAAAATGAGTTTGAAACCCTCACCAATTGATTCAGTAGCAAAGCGATGAGATATAATTGGTATAATAGCCACAAAAATATCTAGAAATACATGAAAAAATTTACCCCACCACTTTGCTACTGAATTCACCTGAGTTTTTCGTTAACGAATTACCTCCATCATCGTACAACCACCAGACATCAATGACACCGCGCTTATGCTTCTTTGTGAAAACAGTCATGTACTCCGGTTGTGAAATCGTGCCAATTTTCCTCTCACTGTGATAATCAGAAACAAAAAAAAAATCAGTCCAACGAATTCACTACAAATTAATTAAAATAATTAAAAAACTTACTACAACATTTTATCGGCTGCATGTTTCTTTTTGAATTTCAAATGATCCCTGGCACTGAAGTGCGTGGGAGATTCCCTGGCGATGGAAGAGGGACTATCAACCCCAACATACTGAGTACCAATTGTCGGTACACTCTGAACCCTCGGCATAATGCTGCTCATTGATAAATCACTGTCTGCGTGCATCAACGTATTTCCAGCAAGATCGTAACTACTCTGCATCAGGTGCTCCTCATCGATATGATTAGAGATAACCGATGAATCCAATCCATTTGGTACACGCAGCATAGCAACTGCCAGTTTTTGATCGAATGCAGTACTGCAAACAATTACTTGATTATTACTCATATTTCCCTCTCATCTATCATTGCGATTGAACGCAACGAAGTGAGATGATTAATCATATCAATTAGTTAAGTAATTGAAATAAATATTGAATATCGACATAAAAACGCGTTTCATTCGCCCCAGACGATGAATTGAATGCATTATCTCAATGGATTCGTCTTCTAGTTGATTTATCGGAAAAAAAAAATTTTGCAATGAGCAATGAAGAATGAAGAAGAAAAAACAGAAATCAGTAGAAAACGTAATTCTTACTGGAGGACATTGAAGTACTCATGGAGATCCTTGTAATTACAACTGGCCCAGTGTGTCTTGTAGCCCATTAACACAACATTAGGGGCTAGTTTACCAACCCCTGTTGCTTGCATGAGGGCTGAGGCACCCCTCTCGAAACACAGATCTCCCACGACGTGATAAAATGCCTTGATCCGATGTCTCTGGAGCCACGCATATCCATTTCTCAATCTCACTGATCTTTGCCGATAGGAAAGACGATCCTATTCAAGAAATGCGATTATGTTAAGAGAATAAAAAATTCCCCCGGAGAAAATCGGTGAAATTTTCCCCATGGCTCAATAAATGACAGAACTTGGAAGATAGAAGTTGGAAATATTGTAATTCTGTTGGGCTGTGACTGAAACTTCTGTTTATCCACATAATTATCGCTCAAATTCTCTCTTTCTCTTTTTATATCTCTATATACGCTTTTAGAGCTCGTGTTATCAAGGAGATTCAGAAATTCCGAGTTTATGAGTTTTCAAGAACTTACCGGGCAAACTTCCCCTGCGATTAAGAGGGAATTATTCTTCGTAATGAGATTTGCCAAATGAAGAAGATCTGGACGAGTTCCTGGTGCACCTGACAGGGCGAGAATCTGAGGAGCATAATTCTTCACGTGCTCGTCGATGGAGTTCAGTCTGACCGGAAAATAAAATCATTTTTCTCGTTTTTTCTTATGACTGATAATAGAATAATTCGTAATTAATTCTCTTAGAAGATTATTTATCTTTCAAGTTCAGAGATCCGATTGATTAAAATGGATTACCTGTGGACAACAGATAATGCTGTCTTATAAGTCTGCGCCTGGGTACTATCCCCCCAATTGACATCAGGTTTACGATAAACAACAATGAGATAAAGCGCGAAAATAACGACGAAAGTAATGAGCGCTGTAACCCAGTCGATCAGAAACATGAAGGCCACACAGAGAATAAAGCCAAGTAACGATAACCAGGTGTTGTAATACTGAAAGAAATAACAAATCCATGAAAAACGTCATAATGACACGTGTTAATTCATTTACCAGGAATTTAATTATTTTTGTTTACCTTGAAAGTCGGCCGCCAGCCGAGAGGTCTGATGAGCGCAGCATGAAAGGTGCAGAAGTTTATTAGGGCATACGAGGCTAGATAAAAATTCGAGATAAGCGGTGCCACAGCGTTCAGATTGGCTGAAATAGATGTTATTGTTTTGTCAGTTAAGTTTGCAGAGTTTTTTGCTGAAGATTTCACTCTACTCTGGGATATTCACCGATAAGAAGAAAGCCTGCTGCCACGAAGAAAGTTAGAACGTAGCCGCGATAGGGCTCACCAGCTTTTCCGTAGCCCTTGCTGAAGAATATCAATCCTGGATAAATTCGATCTCGACCTAGGGCCTGAATTAATCTAGGAACTGACAGTAGATTTGTCAGGGCTGTCGACAAAGTTGCTGCGAAACATCCGGCGTAGATTAATGGACCCCAGAGTGACATCATTTGCATGATCTATCAAACATACATTCACTGGTAGTGTCGCGGGTAAATTTCATTGGCAGCCGTATTTTTTTTGGTTTAGGTAGGAGTAAAAAGAGTAAAAAATGTCATGAATTTTTTTTTTACTCACCGAAACACTATTGTGAAGACCGTATTCGCAGTCAATCCCTACGGTGCAATTGATAATGGTCCCATTATCGTAACTACCGTATGCATCACGCACAGCAGCACCTCCAGCAAAAAGCACGAACATGACGTAACTGATCATTGAGATGAGCAGCGCCAAGAGTGTTCCACTAGGAATGCTGCTGGCAGGATCTTTCAGATCTCCAGATATGTTGGCACCGGCTTGAATTCCAGTTACCGATGGAAAGAAGATAGCGAAGACTGAGAAGAAGTCGTAATTCACATTTTCAAAACGACGATAATCAGCTCCCCAATTCGATGCGAAGGTCTCCGCCGAGAATCCAACGAATCCAGCGTTTTCTTGAATGGAACTCCTTGGGCCAACGATCGCACCGATCAGGAAATCGAACATGGCGATGACGATGATGCCAATCAGAAAATTCTGGGCCTGAATAAGTTATTGATTTATCACAATTGATTTAAATCGAGCTGTTCAATTTTTTGAATTATCAATTTTTCATTCTATAGAATTGGATTGCTCACCTTGGACTCCCACTCCATCCCCCCGGCGCAAATTAATATCATAATGAACATTGCGATACATCCGATAATCCTGGTATCTTGTACAGCATTATCTATAATCCCCCCTGTGGGTTTAAGAAGCTCATTCATCGAGTCGCAAAATCCTATGGTGTTCATCGATGCAGCAACAGCATTAGCGAATGCAAATACTATTCCAACGGAGGCCCCAAATTCAGGCCCGAGTGATCGTGATATTATAAAGTAGATTCCGCCTGCGAATTCATAATTATTTGAATTTTTCACGCTAACGAGTGACCGTCAACATCACTAAATTCAGGAATGATTTTAATACACCAGAATAACAATGAAAAATGTTTTCCATGTTTCCGCGAGATAATTTATCGATTACGCTTTGATAATTCGTGTATATCTGATAATTATTTTCAAAGCACCGACATTTCCCTGATAAATAAAAACCGGTCCGATAAATATTGAAGTTGAAAGATAATTCCAGGGGTAACCGTGAGTGAATGTTTACTTATTGTTTATGATATTTCACATCTGGGAAAAATTTCCGTCAATTTTTGGGGTCAGGGCTGAAACTCGACGGTAATTTCCTAATTCCTTTACTCCACAACTGGGAAAAATTCTCTTCGCCCTCGATTGCCCACTAAATAACTTTAATTGACTTCCCCCATAAAATTTATCGGATAAAAAACGACGAGAGGTAAACAACGTCTGGCGTCACAGGACACACCTTAGTCCTAGGAAAGAAAAAAAAAAAAAGGCAACACACCTCCCTTTACTTCGCCATTAGTGCTAATTGCACTGAGACTCAGAGTAGTGATGACACAAACTCCAGCTGATATTCCAATAATAATCATACTCTGGAGGATTCCAGCCTGAGCAACAATCCAAGAGAGTCGTAGAAAGAGCATTACCCCCCAGATGTTCAATAAGCATGGTATAAGCACCCCCTGGATCCACCCCAGTTTAATGCCCCCATGAACAGGGCCAGGAACAACTCCAGCCTCGACATTACCCTCCTGGAACAAAAAATCCGATAAAAAAAAATCTGAAATTGACAGGAAAAAATCAATTCTACTCATCCCAGAGTCTCAGATTCGCCCACAGTAATCTCGTCGTTTTACTGCTTCACAAACTTAATCAAACGCTTGTCCCCATAGTCGATACGAAATTCCCCTTTCACCGGCTTTCTCCTCCTTTACATCCCCCAAATTGAGTGAAATTATTTAATCCCTCCGAAACCTTCCCCCGAAGGAATGGAATTTATTCTCATAAAACCGCCAGCTCTCTCCTGGTTTTCATAGTACCAGAGTAGAATAGAGTCCACACTTAATGTTCATTAATTTATTTACCAATGAAAGGACTCTCTGAATAATTAATTACTCTATTGCATTATTAATTGAAAAATTAGGACAAGTTAAAAATGATTGTCGTTCTTGTTTGGAGAGCTCAAGGTTTCTGATAGAGAGATAGACGTAATAGATTTCCTACGTGCCGTCAATGACGAGATCCAATGAATGAAAGATACCAGTATATGATTACAAGTACATGATCTGTGGTTAATGGAATTACTTTAGTAAATACACACGTATTTACCGGTTAAGTCTGACTAGATCTGGAAATTATTGAGCTCGGTAAACACATGTGCAATCAACCCCTGGGTTGCATTCAAACCGACAGGTTAAATTATTCTCACACGTTAGATTAACACCTTCGGTTGCACCTGAATGTCGTAATTGCTTGGAAAAATACTGAGTACTCACTTTCACGGGGTTTCCATCGTGCAGATCACTCAGGGAGGGCCTCTTTGCTCGCCTGCTAGCTCTGGAAGTTTCAGAAATAGTCAAGTCGGGGTTGGATGGGATTATTTTTTTTTTAATGTACCTGTAGTGGTCCAGACGAGGGACAACGTCCCAGAGTCCGTTGACGTTCAACGTCATGGACATTTTCTTTCCGTTTATGTGAGGAGTCTCATCCTCACCATTTTGACTCTGGAATTTACCCTCCATTCCCACTAGTCTGAAAAATAGAGAGAATCGTTGAATCCCGGGGGAAAATATTTAAAAATTCATTTCATTTTTTTTATTCTTTTATTTTTCAGATTCTCGCTATTTTTGTCACACCATCAGTTTCATATTTTGTAAAAACGAATTGGCGGATTCAAATCGAATCAATTGCTTTTAAATCGATTTTTATTTTATTTATTTACTGGATTATTCTATATTTGATGTTTAGAGTTATATAATAATATAAAATCAGCGATCGTTTTGAAAAGATTATTTATAAAGTGAGAATAATCTTTGAGGGTCTCGGAATCAAACCATTTCTGAATTTATTCAGAATTTTCCAATAAATTCTTAATACGATTTGCTCACTCATTTTACCGGTATTTTCAATGTGAAATTACGAAAGTACAATAAAGAAAAATGAGGGCATACCGGGGAATTTGAATTGAACGGAAATGCAGGGAAAAATGCGACTGTATTATTCTTATTATTCATTTTTAATTAAATCGTGAAGTTATTGAATAAATTTTTAATATTTCTACATCCATTATAATTTCTCGTATATCCCCAAAGTTCAGTAAATATTTAATAGGATTAATTTTTTCATTTACATCGAATGATGTTTATCACACGTGAGGATTATTTATTTTCATATTTTTTATGAAAATAAATGTTCAATCGATTATCCAAAATCGACTCCTTTTTATTTTCCGTCCCTCCAACGATTAGGAGATTATTTCAATTGGAGAACTGTTCGTATCACCCAAGTGACACTGATCGATGGAAAAAATACTCAGGAATTATAATACCCCCGAGGAAGCTCCACGTGCTCTTCCCCACTCAGATCCTACCGAGGAAGTTTTCACATCTCATGTATCGGCCATTTGTGATAACATGTTTCCAAGGGATTGAATCACCCCAACAGGGAAAACATTTTCCTCCAGTAAATAGAGACTAGCACAAGAACTCTTCATGGAGAGTAAAACATCTCAAAGGCTAGGAACAATAAATTCCTATAATTAATACCGAAAAATCAACATTTAACATCATTTAAAAAATCCTCGAAATTTATTCTGTAACACTTTTTATTCATTCCCATAAATTTCAGAGTGAAAGGGCGGTTCAACAAATTTTAGAGCCTCGCTGTAATTTTTTAAATATTTTTTTCGATGTGCAGATGTCGAGATCTTCGTCAGAAGTAAAAAAACATTCTCTGGTTTTTTGAGCAAACCCAGGGATTATTTTTCTGGGTAACGAGAGAAATAAACCGTGGGAATTCACCGTGCAATTTTATTCCCTTTCGGGATATTAATTACCGAAAATTGATGGCTCACCAGGAAGTGACCGTCGGAAAAATGCCACATGAGTGTATCCACTTGATGAATTTGGCATGAGTCCTAAATGCCTTTCGACATGAGTAAACCCGGAGAAAATAGAGAATGCTTCATTCATTGAAAGCTACAATTACTCGGAGGGAGAGGGAAAAATAAAATAGAAGCAAGACCGATTCACGTAACGAGAAAATGGAATTACAGTCTTACAGCTTCTCCAACTGCTGTTTGTTTTCTTTCCTCCAGGAATTTCATTCATGTTTAATTCAACTTCTTCAATTTTTTCACGTCTTTTTTCCCCCAAAAATTTCGATTGCGTGTTTTATCCGACGACTCGTATTCGCAAATTTTAGCACGAATTATCACCCAATGTGGTAATATTTACCAGGTATTGACAGCTCAGTTATATTTCTCGTGTTTTCATTAATGAGTTTAGCATTTTTTTTATTGAATTCTGCTTTGAATGGATATTTTGGAATATCAGATTATTTATGGATCTCTAGTCAGCAGTATTGGCTCCATGAAATTCTGCAAGCTAACCCTCTTGTTGGGAATCTTGTGACCCTCCCTGGAAGGGCGGATGTACATTTCTGATCGTGAAGTGATTCGGAACGGCTTCGTTCCAGACCCACATAGAAATTAATTAACTCTTGCGTCTATTATCTCGCTAGCATCAATTCGGCCATCAATAATCGTTTATCGATCGCTATATCATCACTGATTTATTTGAGACTCGATATTTTAATTAAACCGCTCTCATTAAATCATTCCATTCCCAGCAATTCGAGACTCCGCTACAGAACGTCTCAATCGCATTCCAAAAAATCAATACCAATAATCTAAAATAGTTAATGACCCCTCGCTCTATGCGCCAGCAAGTTTCCAAAATACCCAATCACTGCTTCAATCTAATGCCAACAAATCCAACACGCGAAATCAATTTACAGCGGCTAGCGATCAAAAATCCATAATTTTGTGAAAGAAATTGGGGAATCGAAATGACAGACTCAAAATATCCAGAGAAAAGGATGAAAAAATTACCCAGATGATTGAAAATCTCAGGGTTGGATATTTCCAGAGGAAAAATCAGGGATTCAAGCCCCAGAATATATCGCCAGAGATCTGAATTGATTCCACCATAAACATTCCACCATGTCAACACTTTTTAAAAACTTGTCAAGTTCACACGCACTCAGCTAACTATTCCTGAACTATTCACCGAACAACAAGATAAGTCAACAATTTCGTGAATCTAGAGTGTGGAATTAATAAATTTTTTGTTGATTTTATTTTGAATTTGAAATGGACCGACTATATGATGCGTTGAGATGGAAAAACTGGAAGATCTCGAAAAACTCACGTCCGAATATACTCTAGATTGAACTCCTGTATTTGGCATGGAGGGAAAATCTAGGAGGCATGCGTGATATTTCCCTTTCTCCATAGACACGAGGGGTGGAGTAGACGTCGCGCCAAACGCGTATCCCATTGCAAAATACATGACACACGTGTATCATCCAAACAAAGACAGAAAAAAAATAAGAAAAAAAAAATCTTTATCGATTCAGAAAGATACTCTGCACTTGCCAGATGCAGCAGGGACTTCAGGGTCATTATCATTACTTTATCATTATTTACAAGCGCCATTTTGGCGGTAAAATACATTCAGAGGAACAGATAACTTCGCAAATCAGGCGGCACTGGTTATTGGTATAATAATCATTAAAAAATATAATTAATTTGATTGACATTCAATCATTTTTTGTAGTGATAACGTGAATTTCCATGAAATTATTGAAAATCAATGGAAATCTTTGGTGAAGATGTAGTTAATCGATAAAATGCGATATCGATAAATGTGATTAATAGCGATAATGAATGGGTAATCGAAGTGATTCACGATTTTAATGGGAGAAATGATAACGGCAGGTACAACAATATTTTAATTGAGTGAACGTTAATGATTGTTAATGATAAAATTGATTTCAGTACCTCATCGATAATTTTCTCGCGGCGTTCATCATTTTTGGAGGCGTAAGTGAATTAAGTCATGTGTCACTGACCTACGAAATCATGGAACGAATTGTACACACTTTTTTTTATGTTTAACCGATACTTGCGGTTTGCGTGGATGCGGCTTATCTTTTGGAGCCAAGAAGTCTCGATCGCGTTTGGAGACCGACTATCACTTTTCCAGTTGATTCCTCGCAATATATAGACGGCACATACGAAGGTATATGCTCCCTATGTGTTATCGCACGTTGAAAAAACTACCGCGACAAGCGCCTACGACACTTGCCAGGAAACTACAGCCCAGGTGATACTATTTCACTCCAATCAGAACAATTTCACATTCTCTAATAATATATTATTTAAACAATACCACCTGCTATATGCTATCCCTCAATCGCCATTTGGAAAAAAACTTCCAGAAAATTTTTATTTATTATATTTATTATATTAATATATTGATATTGTATTATTAATTATGGAATTTTTGAAATTTTTCATGGAATTTTTTCTTCGCGCTATTTCTTGCGCTGTTGTTTTTTTTTTTAATCTTCAATTTTCATCTTCAGGTCCCTGGAATTAATCCACTCTGTCACCATTCGTAAAAATGTCAATTCGATTGAGAGCAATTCCCATGAAGTGGAGCAATAAGTTTGCCTATAAGTACCCAGAAATTCTCTTTTTTTAGGGGAAAACACATCGCAAATAATAAATTCCATGAAGGATGAATAACAAATAAAAATTATGTTCTCAGAAATATTTTTCTATACACGATTTATTTCGAAGTACAGAATAAATTCTATTTTTTCCACGGAGGTAACTGTTTAATTAAAATAATTGGGTATTTTTGCCGTGGTTTACGCATGTTGCACAAAATAATATTCATGTATTGTATTCATTTATTCAGTACTGAATGTCACGCCGATTGACAAAAACCTTGGCTTCACGCGAGGACGAGTGCAATGATACGGGATTCCTTGAATTCTCCCGACAGTCTGGATAATTTTTAAGTCATCTCTACATTATTTCACGTAACAACAATTATTCATCCGCCTCTCTTCGTCAGAGAGAATTTTTAATTGAAATTGGAATTATTTCATACTTATAATTGCAGGATTACTGGAGGTGTGTTATTGATGAGTTCCAGAGGACAATGGCCACTAGTGTTTCTAAAAAATTCCCTCGAAGTTATAATTATAATTAATCTTTATGTCAATTGGAATTCATCCAAGTGGCACTGATTGATCCACTGCTCGCGTTTCAATATTTTTAGAGCGATAAAAAATGACGATAAAAAAATATATTCACGGAATTTTTAATATTCTCGAATGATAAACAAAATGTCTGCAGTGGCATGCAAGGAATGAGTGATTTTAGAAAGGAATGTCAAAAGAGTGTTGGCAGAATGAGAAAATTCCGAAATAAATACCGTAGCATTTGCTTTACGGTGAGCGTAACTATCACATTTTTCCAAATAATTTCCTCCACTATAACAATAATTATCGAACAGTCGTAGCTCAGATTATGATGGAATTAACAACACAAATTTCTTTCTGTCACAACAATTTGTTGATAACGACATGATAAAAAGTCTCACCAAATAATCGCGAAATGCGGATATAGAAATGGTTCAGCGCCTAAACCCGGTGGTTTCACAGCGTTAAATGATAAGCATCATCGCCAAATCACAAGTATATATACCCCATTCTGAATTAACGACCCCCATGTACCACTATTGAGTTAGTTAACCCGATGAACTTGAATACAAGCAATGAGAATGATCTAGCTCACACACCCTCGTGTATCATCAGCTAATTAATTGATGCTGTCACAAGATTTCCGTAATAACATTATTTTTTCTGATGACACTCCCATGAATTGCCAACCATGATAAAAATCATGATAAAAATCATGATAAAAATCATGAATTTTTTTCCCTCAATCAATGAATTCCTGATTATTTTTGTCTATTTTTTACTCCAGGATCATGGGAATTGATAATTTTCTTAAAATGTTCTTGCTTTATCCGGTAATTCGGACTCATTGAGTTCGTTGAGTGAATTGTCAAAAATAAAATTGCTGGAAAGTATCAGATATTCTACTGTTTGCGGCTGGAGGATTCAATTGATGACCAAGATACAACCAGACAAAACTGCGTCAGTCAACCAATCTTCAAGTCTTTAGTCTTACTAACGAAGTATGTACATTGATTCATCTACAGATACATAAGAAATTATATTGCGTAAATCATCGACGACGAGAGAAGGATGCAGGGAAAAATTTCTGATGGAATTGTTCTGCTGTCGCCACATGTTCTTCATGGTTTGCATCTTACCTATTTTTTATCAGGCCCAAACAACTGACTCGATCTTTCTCTCCAAATTATTTAATCCATAAAAAAGTTATGACAGCTTATAATAGTTATCGTGACAGGAATAATAGAAAAATGCACTATAAACCCTGGAATTTTCACCAGATTCTTTTATAATTATTGCATGCAAATTGCCTGGCCGGAATTCCTGATGTAAAAAATGATAATTTTGAGTATTTAGTTGAAATTTTTTGACCTTCTCTTGTCAGGACTTGATTTCTACGCATCAGAAATTGCACTATTAAATTGATTTATTCCACAACCGGTCTATAATCTGTCTAGTAATACGTGTTAGATTAATTGTTAAGTCTGTGATGCCCATTTAAAAATTTTTCTTTCTAAATTCTGACATTTCACAATCGGAAAATTCTTCTTTATCTTTCATAGTTTTACTGCTCGGGTAATTTAGAAAATTAAATAGATAATAGCAATGAGGACACCGGATTTGGGTCTCGAAAAAATTCCACACATCAATTTTCGGAACCGTAATACTAAATCAGAACTTGGAATGTCCAATGAATTACTCATGAATTCATTAGAATTTTCCGAGTATTCATATAGGGTTGTTCATAACACTCTGAGTCATGAATAATACTCAATATTTATTCATTCGATATTTACATTATTAGGAATTTATTATTCCAAGAATCGCTTATCGTGATTTCATGAAATACCTCATCAGGTAATTCCATAATTTTTGTTTATACTCAGATCATAATATCCCATAATTATTTCTAAGAGTGACAAACGTCAATTTTGATTAACAACAAATTAATACTCATCAATGGAAAATTGATAGCCATTGGGAAAATTTCCTGTTCTATTCTGCGATGAAGAATAAAGAATCATTTATATCCCCTTCAGTGGAACGCCTTCCGAAAAATAGAAAAGGATTGGAACGAAGTCATTGGAGCTGTCAATACTGACAAAATATGTACTTAAGCTTAAATTTTGTTTGTAATCTTGAACTTATCATTGAGCAATCGAACTGAAATCATCAGGGACGTGTGGAGAAACTCGTAAGCGCGTGTGGTTTGAAATTTTATGCGTTTTCAAGAGGTTTTTTAAATAGATCAAACACTCTCGGTAGTTTTACCGAAACCTGCGTTGTGGTAATCGTAATCAGAGTGATGTCAGCTGCAAAAATAAGCTTAGAACAGCTTTGAAATTAATTAATTGAAAATTCGAGGATAGAATTCTCCCACTCGTTCGATTAAATACAGTATTGAACAACCTTCGAGAATTGTGTGTTTTAGTATCCGGTTTTATTTGGAAATCCCAATTTATTTGAAGGCCTCAACGGTCATCAACTTGAGTGCTATTCTGCTTGATAGCTCTATCCTTTCATTTTTTGACAGGTATCGGTCAATGACTGCAAAACCATTGAGAAGACTCTTACTCTTATTCTCAATTTGATGATCCAATTGATCAGTAATTTTTATTCAAACTCTTCATGGTATCCTGAATAATAATATGACCTTTTTATGCTGAGGAATCATCGGTCGTTGAGTGTGAATTCTTGAAACCGTGAAAGATGCAAAAAAATGAATTTCTCATTTTGCTTATTTTCTACACATGGTTCCAGCCAGCCAGAGTACCCGGCGCACTCGGGATACAACAGCTCCAATCCAGTTTTATCCAGTAAAATCTGCTCAGCGAAGGAAACCTCTGAATTGATGGTAGATGTTACTCGACATTATCCATTGAGTTGCCTTCGGCGTTTCCCCGTTACCATTTCACTTTTCCCCTTATCACCGATTGTGATTTTATTGTTGTCATACTTTTACTGCTTCCTGGATTAACATTCACCAAGAATATTAACCCCAGTTCTTTTTCTTTAATATTAATACGTGCCGTAAGCAGAGATAGGTATAATTGAAAAATCGTATTACCACTAAATCATCACCTGATAACATTTAATTAGTCCACTTAATTATTTTACTGCCATTATAATATAAGTCAGTAATCATTTCAGCCAAAATAATCTCTTAATACTAATTGGACACTTAATTAATTGATATTTCGCAAAGAAGATTAATAAAAGGTAAATTTTGCGGCCGAATCATTTGAAGAGTAATTTTTTATTTATTATGGGATACTCCCCAAATTTAATTCGTCAATTATTATTATAGTTATCATTATTAAGGACGAATAGTGATACACATATCCCATGAAGTATTTAATTTGTAAGATAGTTGCTAATGAGTAAACAAATTCTGCTGTTTCAGGTCTTTATAGTTTTTTCGCTCGTGCGAATTCCATTACGACGGGAGTGCGGATGAGGTTTAATTAGCGGTGGATTTTTTTTTTCGCGGAATTATGGATTGAGCTCTTGCGGTGTCGATGATTGACGGGGATTTGAAAAGGTGAAGGTGGAACCCCTATGAACCCGCGGTGGAACTAACCAGAAAGGAAACGCTCATTTAAATATTTGTCTTTTGATTCTAATACATTTATTCAATTTTAATTATCGCTCATGTGCGTATTTCAGTAATTTTCATTGGATTTACATACATATATACATAGATACATTTATTGAACATGTGGATCATGCGCTCATTATTCAATTATTACAATTCTGGAGGAGAATGGTGAATGTGAAGACATTTCGTTTTTCAAAACTTCAAATTTTTTCTATTCACTCAACGAAAAATTATGAGTTGGATAGAGAATTGAAAAAAAAAATTCAACGTTTCGTCAATCAACTGCAGAATCGTCTCTGTCATCGACATTTTGGCAATCTAGGGTATTTATATTTATGAAATTATTTTCATACTTGTGGAGATTTAACATCAATATATCTTCAAATATTAAACACTGAACGGTAGTCAATGTTTCCTAAAAAATGAGTATATGGAATATATTATTTGTTCCTCTATTTTAAATATTTGATCACATCGAAATAGTGTATTATATTACTTCTCAGACCTCCCATCTCAAACTGCTGCATCGTTAATTGCACAATTTGTGTTTTCACCAGGAAAATTAACAAAATCATTTTTAATTTCACAATTAATGGTTAAAATCAATACATAACAGTTTTATGTACATAAATAGAGAGCCGTTATTCAATCGAAATTAATATTTTGTACAGTAACAAGATCAACGATATAATAAAACAAGTCGTAATTCTGTAAAAACACTTTTTTCCTCACTTTAGATTTTTTCCGGTCCAGTTTCGATATTTCAAATCGATGATTTCTCGTACTTTTGAATCTCATTATCCTTAATACCTCCTATAAATCATTTTCCAGTAGTCAAGAGACACGCAAGGGGAAATGAGTCCAGAAAAATCAGGTGGGCAGATTATTCCCCGAATATTTCACAAAATTCCGAAAGAATATCAGTACATGTCACAGAATTCCTGAATTTATATATATTAAAATAATGACAATAAGATAATTATTTTCACAGATATTCCCCGTAACCTCAGGGTCTTAAAGATTTTTTTTTAATCCTCTGGAAATTGAAATAAAAATTATTGGACTAATTTCCCATTCTCACGCCGCTGCACTTATAATTGCAATACCTATTCTTAAAATATCAAATTGTCACAGATAGTTAATCGTACGTCTAACAATTTGGCTTGTTCTATGAGTGTTCACTCGATCGTTTTCGTTCCCTTTTCCAGCAGTTCAGCAAAACCGGCTTAATTAATTGGTTACGTATTATTGACTTAGATCGCAGCCTAGCTGATACTCTCGGCTCTCCTCGCCCCCAATTTCAGCAAATATCAGGTGGACTCGATGCCACCGCCAGCGAGTTTCGTTGCATAAAGGTTTAAAGCCTAAATAAAATTTATCGCAATTATCAATAATTAATTTCGAAAGTAATTTTGTTTTCACATACCTTATATATGAATGCATATTGCTCCTTCGTTTGAACTGATCCAGCCCTGTCTCGTCTGATGGTGTAGACGACTCTGGGGACGTCGACTGTTCTCGTTATTTCGTACTGTCTGATACCAAGATCCAGAGCAATCAGGGTGCCTGTCCGGCCTGTCCCTGGACTGCAGTGGACGACGATTGGCACTGGGCCACCCCTCTGGAGGGCACGGGCCTCCAACAGAACTGCTATTAATCCAGCTGCATCTGTCTGCACTCCATTCGCTGGCCAGAGATACCAAATGTGGGATATTTCACGGTATGTATTATTTTCCAAATTCTGGAATAGAAAATTTCATTCACTCACTCCTTGTACTGTCTATCACGTAAAGGGAATAAAGAGGGATTCCTCCTCTGTATGAATTTTACCTTGAGATGAAGTGTGGAGATGGCGTATTTTTCTTTGGTCTCACGTTTCTTCAGGGTGACTTGGTAATCCCCGAAAAGTCTGTGACAGTCTGTGACTTCAGAGGGTGGAATGTACTCAGCACACTTCTCCACCCCATTCTCAATGAGATCAGTCAGCATAATGATGACTTTGGACTGTTGCTCCCAGATCATCCTCCAGAAGTCGGTGACAGTGGATTCCATCGGCGCCTGACACGCGATGTAGTACTTGGTTGCATTTTTCGGCCCTCGTACGTAACTGGCGTTTATGTACTCAGACAGCGGGTCATTGTTGATCTTCGCCAGGGGCACTCGAGTCTCGGGGAGAGGCACTACGTTGGCGAAACGATTCTTTACCTCTGCCCCGGGGGGCAGCTCATCCATCTTCGCTGAGACTTGGGGAATACCTGAATATTCTTCATATATCGCGCTCTGCTCGTTGCAAAAGGTCGAGAGACCTGAGAAGTTTAGGGGGTGTGAAGGAACTGCAGTCTGGAATTCATAGAGAGTAGAAAATAATTTTTTTTTGTTCATCCTCGACTCTGGTCTATCACCTCTCAAGAATTCCATTTTTTTTTTCAACTTATGATGGATTTCATTTTTTATCTTAAAGATAATAATAAAACACTTGGAGATCTAAACGAAAGAAAAATTTTTTGGTTCATCCTTGGTCTGATGTCCGATCTACGATTGTTTCGGGGAAGAAAAACAATTTTTATTTAAAATAATAAAAAAATTGTAGAAGTGAAGTGATAATATGAGCAATTTCGACTCTCGCATGCTCAGAAGTCTTTCCATAAATGCAAATTGAATGGCTTTTATATTGAAACGCGAAAAATTCACAGGAAATAATTATGGTAATTACCCAGAGAGCTTAGTACTCTCAACTCACCGAATCCTCAAAAGTTGGATTTCCATAACTGCGCTTTGATGCTCTGTTAGCACCTTTTCGTCTGACACTGTTGTACGCCGAGACACTGTCGAGGCTGAATGCATCCAACGAGACTGGTCGACATCTCTCTCCATAGTTGAACCTCGTTTGCCGTTTCCGCATTATGAACTTGAATCAGAAATTTATTTGTCATTAATTTTAATGATCAGAAGAAAGTTTCGTTGAGTTTCAAAGGGCCTTTGAAATTCAACGATCGAGCGCCTGAATCTCTTTTCCAATTAATGAGAGTCTGGAGTCTCCCATTCCCCGATAAGAATTCATTTATACCTAGAAAATTCAGCGGTTAGCGTGAATTTCCATGAGCAATATCATTCTATTTTAATGAAATTCCGAGCTTCTGTTCATGAATAAAAGTAACAGAAAGTTTTAATCATCTCTGTTTGTATGAGACCGCAGAAATGGAGAGAAATGAAACTCGTTGGGGAATGGAAGTTTTCATGGGGCAAACTTTTGAGATGTCGTGTACACAAAGTTTTTCTCAAAGGCAAGGAAATGCTTACCAGAAGGCCAGCCAAGAGGACAAGGCATATGAAAGCCACACAGGAAACCACAACCACTGCTATCGCGTTTCCAGAATCTGTATCTTGGACCAATTGAAAACTGCGGATCTGTGGAAATACGAAATTAAATTCAGATTAAGATTGCTATATGGTTAAATTTTTTCTCGATAGTTTTCGTGAAATATTTTATGGTGAATAATTGAAAAAAATAGTTATTTGAGACATATTTCGAAATTCAAGTGATTTTGAGAATTTTTAAAATATCAACGACTCGACAGTTTTCGAAATAAAAAAAAATGGAATATATATCGTCGAGGGAATACAGAAAAAAAATCGAATTCGAAAAAATCGAATATAATTATCGAAAATCCATAAATTTATATAATTGAAAATAGTTAATATGGAAAATATATAGTTATGGTTTACAGCGGATAAATTTTTTGCAGAGACGATCGCGATACAATAGATTTAAACTAAAAAAAAAAACCTCTCCGCAAGAATAAACTCGTAATGAAAAATTAGCGAACACTTTGAAAAATGAATCCACGCAAGAAAACCAATTATTTACTGCGTAAGTAATTGTTTTATTTCTTGATGACATGAGTAAATTTGTCAACGTCGTTGAAATGTAAACAAACCACGAGAATTATCGGAAATCCTGGGCTGCAGCTGCAGCATCCCCATCATTAATCGATTTTTCCACCGCCGTAATGATCGCCCACCCCCGCCCCTCATTTGTCGCAATAAACTCAATTCCTTTATCCCATTAACCCCATTTTACACACAAAAAAAAAATTCACAATTTTTCATTCGATATTGACCGTCCAGTCGAGTCATGACTGGCCATTTGTAAAACCCTGGAGCCATGAAACCGACACCAGGATGTAGACTCCAAACGGCAATTCCCAGTGGATAGTTGGCAGATCGCCTGAGGTCGTGGGATGGGGCATTTGAAAATAAAAATTCAAGGACCGCACTTCACCTGCAGGAATTGAAAACTACGAATAGAAAACTGATACTCACAGACAGCTGAGATTTTATGGAAGTTCTGCTGTAGAGACTGGGGAGAATTCTCGTCATTGAGGCATCGAAGTTTCCATTCTGATCGACTACATACAGATATAAAGTTACAAGACCTAATTCCTGTGATGACTGTGACACACCCTCCGTGCAGGGATTCTTTTTGAAAATAATTTGAGTGGCTGCTGTTCTGCAATGAAAAGCAGTAAACAATTTAAATAATTTATCAATGCTATGTACGCGACATTAAATCGATCGATCAATCTATAAAAAATAAGCAAGGAGTGAAATGTCTTTTGTATTCTGAATTCATTCTAATGATTCCCCCAGAAAATCACCCCGTTATTCAGCTCTGCGATTTCCAGGATATAAAAAACTAGAATTCCCCCTGGGCAATCCCTTCCACTTACTTTTCTATTCCAGCAGTCAACAAATCTGCAAGTGACTGCCTGAGGGCAGGCAAGTGGGGGCACACTTCATTCCAAGTGCCCTCGACGACAATTCTCACGGGAAGATTGACGTCCTCAGGGGCAAATGGCTCGGTCACCCCTCTTCCACCCCCTTCAGTATTCATGACAGTCGTGGAATCCTCCGACATCTCCGTTTCAGTAGTAACCGGTGAAAATGTTGATGGCCCAGTTGAGTACTCCCCAGCATCCGAAATATTCACTTTTTCAGTGGTACTGGGAGTGGTGGAATCCATTGGCTCCAGAGTGTCAGTTGTCTCCATCGATTCATTGGTTGTCCTGTCAACGAAGGTCGTCTCCTCAAGGATAGCAGTGATTCCATCATCCTTCGAAATATCAGTGCTAGATGTCGACCATTCATTTCTCATTGTGGTGATCTCTGTCGTGACATCAGTTGTCGTCGCCGCCTCCTCCTCCCTAAACCCAGTAGTTCCACTCTCCGTCGAATATTCGATAATCGAACTCGTATCAATCGCGGAAGCAGTCGAGGAAACTCCTCCCGAAACAAACTCTACATCAGTTTCCCTTCCCTCAGAACTACCGACAGAACTCTCGGATGTCGCCTCAGTGAGACCAATGAACTCGTACTCAACCCCCGAAGTTGTTGACTCAATGTCAATTCCACGACCACCGAAATTTGTTGATTCAGTCTTAGTTGGTAATCCCTCTGTGCTCAAAGTTCCTGAGGAAACTGTCTCGGGGATTAGGGTAGTTGAGCCAACTTCGTCTATCCCCGGCACAGTAGTACCAGAAGTTTCGGTAATAGTAGAGGAATCGAGAGGTATTGATGAAGATTCCGTGGGAACTGTTATCCTGGTTATTGAGAATGACTTAGTGGAGTTCTCAGTAATATTCAGAGGTGATGTCATCAGCATTTCATCTCCACTTGTTTGGGAATAGATCTGAGTGACAGTCTCAATGACTATTTTTTTCTCAGACGTCTCCGTGGTATTCCGTGCCAAATTCGCTTCAGTACTTCCAGACTCCTGTATCTGCGTCCTATTTTTATTGACATTCGTCAACACATTCTCATCTAACGTATTTTTCTTCTCGAGGATCTCCTGAGCGTCTCCAGTGTTTTCTGAGACAGCAGAGGCCGTTTGATTGGATCCCCCAGTGGTTTCGGAAACTCTTGGAGCCCCTGAAGATGTCGAGAGAGACGACGGGGCGTCGGTACTACTTAATCTCGAAAAATTTCCAGATCTCTTGTAGTATGTTGGTTTCATCTGCTGGATGCTGTTATCAATAACAACAGAGGACTCTGTGATTACTAGCTTCTTGTCATCAGAACTTTTTCCGATGGTATTCTCCAGTGGAGATATCTCCTCGGAAACTATCGGCTTACTTGTATTCATCGGATTACTTGGACTACTTTTTAAGTAAGGGTACGGTTTTGAGTCCTTTGTGGAGCCGAGCTCAGCGCTTTCCTTTGTCGAGCCAATCGCTTTCACTTCACTGCTGAACTGATTGCTCGTGTTGAATGATATTGTACGACCTCTTGGGGAGGAATTTCGTTCGTTTACAGCCGTTGTGTTCTCTAGTGTATTGGGTGAGGGAAATATCGTCGAGGAAATCTCGAGATTTTCGAGGTTTTTCTCCGGAACCCTCTCAACTGGTTGATTTACCACTTGTGAAAAACCTGTTGAAGTGTGTCTTGATGTTTCGTTATTGATGCTTTCTTCGGGTTCTATTATCCTCATTACTTTCGAGGACGTGACGTTTTTGATTGCCTCCACCTGAGATTTCGGATCTTTTCGTTTGGATTGGGTGTCAGGCTCTTGGGAGATGACGTTCGTCGCATTCTCTTGTGTTACCTTCAGATTTTTCGTTATTACGTCGTCCACGTGCTCTTTCTTGAGGCCTTTGTAGTTGACGTTTGTGTCGTTTATTAGAGATATGGTTTCCTCTTGAGCCTTATTTGGTTTCGGGGTCGTGGGCTCTTTGTCCTCGAATCTGTCGTCATCGATGTCTGAGTATTCGTCCTTCTCATTGAATTCCGGAAGTGGATCTGGTTTTAATAGCTCTGGGGTGATGTGGGATTTGTCTCCAATCTGCGTATTGGAACTGGCAATTAGCTTTTCGATCAAGTGCTTCTTGGGGGCCTCAGTTGGCTTTAGAGGCCTCTCGGGATCAATATCTGGGAGGGGTTTGGGGTAGGAGATCGGGGAGGTATCTCCTAGGTCTTGATTACTCGGCAAATGTTGCTCTTTGTTGATCCTCGGCGTTGGTGAATTGGTTATCCATTCGCTCGCGGGAGTTGGTGAAGATTGGAAAGGCAGTTTACGTTCACCATCGTTCAAGGCTGATGAAGGCGTGTTGCCTTCTTGATGGGGTTTATGTAAGACTGAGCTGTTTCCTGATACCGTGAGCCCTGGGGACTCCAAGGACAACTGCTGGGATTCTACCAGGGAGCCACTGATGAGCAGGAGAATCATTCCTGTGGACAATATTCATTAATAATTCAAACTACTCTATAAACTACTTTATAAAAAAAAAGGGAATCACCATATCTATTTCTAGATTTCATTTCAGGTGAAAAAATCTAATTCACAGGATCGAAAGGTGACGTTTTATTAAAAGAAACTTGAGGGACTTTTATTTAATTTAAATTCATGTAAAAGCGAAGGGGAGCTGATGGACATTAGAACCGGTTAGAACTTGGGAAAATCCTTGATCCGAGTGGTACACATTGAACATCAAGAATATAAATCACCAGCTGAGATTAAACGCAGATATCAACACACCCGTACGCTGCACTGAATATTAATTCATGACCTCGAAATTCTACTAATGTTTTGTTGTGGTTTTTTAAATTGATAATCCCTTGACAGTATTCAGCTTGTTTTTGCATCGACTGAGGCAGTTGTATTGATCGAAAAAGTTGGAAGAATGACATTTATCATGCATTGGTTAACTTGTTCCGTTTGTTTGTTCCTCTAGAAATTTCTTCAGAAAGTAGAAATTTCCAGCGTGACGAGACGAGCGTCACCGTTTCTACCAGGAAAAAGTGAATATATTTTTTCATCAGAATTTAAATTGCGTGGAGGTAACAACGAGAGGAATGAGGACCAGATCCTCGGTAATTCTAACAGTACTTTGTACTCTTGCACCGAGGCATCGCAAATTGTTTGGAGGCATGAACCACCCACTTACTTGGCGCGTGTCCACGTTTTTTTATCTCCAAAAGTGAATGAATGACTTTTGAAAGAATGGAAAGTCCAGGGTAATACAGCAAGTAATCCAGTTTGAAATTATCATTACATCAATAGTAAGACCAAAATTATTTTCAGAATGATTACCTGTACATCGTGAGCCACAAGTTGCTGATCTCGACGTCATCTCCGAGTCCTATAGGATCGCCTCGTAAAATCTGAAATCAGAGGCCAATCATAACTCCACGATCTCTCTAATTACATATTTAATTACTTTTAAAATTGTGCCGCGATCAGGCCTTGACAGCTTCCTCGGAATTAACGCCAACAATTTCCGCGTGATGTCTATTCCGCTCATTACATTTCCGTATTTTAACAATTACTATTAGAAAATACATACGCAAATAACAAATAAATAAGCGCGATAAAGAGTAGAATGTAATTTATAAAAAAAAAGAAAGAGGAATCGCAAAACCGTGAATTTTTTCTTTATTGCTGTCAGTATTTTCCAGTGGTATTTATTTGTCTGTCAAAGAATTATAAATGTTGAAAAAATGAGGGATGGTCCAGGGAATCGTAATAGACTGTCGCGAGATGTATTTCGCGAAGAAATATATTTTTCGAACATTTCTGCTACTCGAGGCGAAAGGAAATGTAGGAAGTCCCGGGGATTACTTCCGGGTGATAAGGTAAGTCCGCCATCTGGTGATATCTCCAGTCTGCTGGGAAAAATACCTTTATACATGAGAGTAAAGTAACTCCAGTGCGATGAGTAACTCCAGTCTCAGGATAAGGGATGGCCATATCTTGGATATATATTTTTATTTAAAAAACCGGAGGAAATGCGTGTTGATGCACCGGTGGAGAGGATAAAACAAGAGTCATACTACTCACGATAAAACCACTGGGTTTTTGTTGGCGTTATCACAGCTGACTTTTGAATTGATATCGCTCAGCGTTTTATTACGAATTTTATAGTGGAGTTTACATTAGTTTGGAGAGTGGAAAAGGAGAGTAATGGATTTAATGATGGGATTGGAATGCAAGGGTTCTCCGAGGGTGCTTTCAGAGCTAGTCCTGTATTGGTTGACCGTGTATTTCAATTTTTCATTCTGCCCCTGGCCTCGAGAACTTTTTCCCACTGGATATTGACTGGCGTTTCCCCCAGGAATTGATTTTTAATGGCCATGGGGGAGAATCTCGGATGGGGGAATGCCAATTTTTTATTTTGAATTTCATTCCCCAGGGCCTCACAAATATGGATATCGTTTGTATTCATTTCTCTTTATTTATTGGTTTTTCGAAGAGAGCGCTGGAATTTTCACTTAATATTTTCATTTTTTAACTCATGTTCAATAATTAGAGTTCCGCTAGTCAAACATTGTTGGGGAATGTCGTTCAAGTTTATTTCATGTCGTTTACCGGATGCAGAGTTGACTCTGTACTTGTGTCATGCTCCACTAACTTTACTTCAAGTTCTTGTTGGCGAGTTCCTCGGTCAGCCTCGGAAAAGGACCGTTAGACGGAAGGCGACAGTGTGATTATTTATTCTGTACACGATGACAAAAACAAATTATCTCTACGAATTAAAATTTAGGGGAGGACAAAATAGTTATTACAAAAAATTCACACGAAATTTTTACCCCGGGTAAATTATCCAGTCACTAGAAATGTAATGTAATGTGGATTGTGCGGAGTTTTATTGGTGGTAAAAGTGGATTGCCCAGAGAATATTAATTGCAGGACACAAAGTGATGGGTAACACCCACAGAGGAAATGCTGAACCTCTGGTGAGGGTACAGCTGATGATGGAAGCCAGGAAGCCAGAATATTCCTGTGATTACACCAGACTCGGCTATCATAATTACGCAAGTGCCTCTCTGTAATTAGTCGCGGGAGTTGATTGGCTTGTCGTAATTCCGTAAAATTATTTGAACCGGAGAGCCTCTCTCAAATCGATTGAGACGTCGAGACTCATGGGGAGGGCTGATGGAGGGCTGAATTGATGTCTAGATAGCCTGAAGAAGATACTTCAAGTCATCTTACTGGTGCTGGTGAGTCAATTAATCCTCTCTTCCCATTGTTACACCAATTTTCAAATTCTCATTTTATTTTCAAACTTCCTTCAATCCACATTTCCATAGCAATAAACCATTTTCATATAAATTAAAATAAAACTACAAACGATTGAAATTTCGCTGGGATTTCGGTTGGTGCAGTCGAATTGGCTCTTTAATTCTTTAGTGGAGAACACTGGAATTGGAAAATTAATGACTTGCCAATTAATGATGTAAAATTTCAATCGATAGGGAATTATTGACATAAATTACTGATTCAAGAGTCATTTCTGATAGATGAAAAATGGATTTTGATGTTTTGAACGGATATATCGAAATGATGAATGACTGGATGATATTCAATCATCGGGGCAATTTGGCATTCAAGTGAGAAATGCTAGGTTGAAATGGAGTCGGTGAGATAGAAACTGTCCATTAATGTAGCGTCATTGTTCGGAAAGGCGAGGCAAGGCCGTACAGCTCTGTCATTGGATAATTGGACCCTAGGTACTTGTTCCACAGGGTCCTATCTGTATTCATACCCGCATATACACCGTGAACATGCGTTTGCACGATTTTGTACTGTTCTCTTTCTCACTGGTACGCGTGTACTTGCTCCGATGCTGCGTACCGAGCTTTCATGGAATAATAGAGGAGACAAGTGATTTTGCTGACTCCTCTTCCTCCTGTTATGTACAACAATGCGTTTAAATCACGTGCCTCCAGCGATCGCACTGTCAGATACAAATTGTTTTCGCTAATTTGAGGCCTAGACTATTTTTAAATGAACAGGTGAACACCTGAACACCCGAACAGGTAAGCTGTAATCCTTGACCCACATTTTTCAACAATGGACATTTTGCAGTTGCGCAAAAAATAAATAATAGAATAGTAATTAATAAAAAATATATAATAATGAATAAAAAATAATAGAATAATAATTAATATAAAATATATTTTGTATATATTATCCCGTGCTAATAAGGGCACGGAGAGAAATATTTAGTAAAAATTACGGAACTTTCAGTTCACTTACCGATTACGGAGTTGATTCGAAAAATTTAAATGACGGTATCGTTATTTTTCACCGATTATTCAGATAAAAATTACGTGACAGTTCCGTAAAATTTCCGACAACCACATTTCGCTCCAGAATTACGGAAAATACACGTAATTTTAATTGAATATTTCTCTCAGTGGGGAATTTCAGAAAAGATATTGCAGGTCAAATATTTTATTTTACACTGATAATAAAAAATATTATTGATAACAGATAAATGAATGAAATTACATGTTAAAATGGTTTATAGAGAGTTCTCAATTCGCTGGAATTTTTAATGTTATTATCACCGAAAGCTGGTGAAAAATCGAGTGATTGGCGGATGAGTTCAATAAAAATATTCATTGGTCAATTGATCGGTCCTCCACATCACACGTCAAATTGCCGGTCCGCCAGAGGCCCATAAATAATTTCCAATATGACAAATGCGAATTCACCTATTCCAGCCGACAAATCAATATCCGATGACATCCCCACTGGTTACTCTTCATTGTAACTTGACTGCGAACTCCATCTCCACAACTGTCACCATATTGCATCATAACATTCTGAATTTCACTCTCATTTTCCCTCTCCTTTATCATTCGTTACGTTTTAGTTGACTGAGCAGTGAAACTGTGTCTTGCAGCAATAATATCCCATTTCACAGTACACTGATTCCAACTTTAAACCCCACAAAACAAAATATTTTTGTCATATTTTTATCCTCAATTTCATAATTAACAACGGTACTGGAAAAATCGTATTATCAGGCTGGAAATGAGGACTTTCTTCCAGCAAAGGGAGCTTTCTCTTTTCCCATGTCTGTTACAATATGTAATTACAACTGAGTTGACGTCAAACAATAAATAAATGAAGAAGTAAGTGCTATTGTTATTATTCATGTACAGGAAATAAATTCAATGAGTTGATTACTTTGAGAGCTTCCAAGATGATTATCTTTCTGAGGAATTCAGCAGTGATAATCGATGATAAAAGAACGATTGACCCAATATAATCGGAGGAGACAATTCGATAAGAGTAATTGAGGACTGATGACTGGATTCACCATTGTTACTTTTTGCTGACTCCTCGAAGGTTAACTTTCTTTTTTGTTCCAATTCATCCATTCTGGAAGGTTGACAAAGAAACTCCAGTCAAAAGACTATTTTCAAAACGCTTCACTGATTATCCGTTTTATTCACTACTTTTATTTTTCACCTGGCAATCCCACTGTTCAAAAGTGCCAATTCTCCTATTGTCTATTCCAATAGGTACGTGGTTAGGCTTTGATACCTCGCCGGATGACACTCCATTCAAGAGAAAACTGCCAACTTCCGTTCTACCGCTGCTTTATTATCCGAAAATTCCATTCACGTTGGGTAATAGAAATTTATTCCTCCGCTGCTAGAACATTTATCTGGCTTTCCGTTCTGTCTTACTAATTTTTCGATACTCAAACCTACTTTTCCCTTCAGAACTTCATTGAGGAAAATAAATTACAAGAGAAAGAGAGTGAAAGTTTCTCACTTCAGGAATTATCTGAATAAGAATTCAGGGGGGGGGGGATGAAAATGATTATTCCTTCGTTGGTAGAAGAGTAGAAGATTTATCTTGAGTATTTTTCAATGATAGAAAAATCTTTTGACAAATTCATTGGATACTTTGGAGGATTACTTGGGAAGAGCTGGGAATGAAAAGTTAATTATTATATAGAGAGTGAAAGAGTATAAATTTGAGAATCTGTACTGAATGATTATTCCACGTGAGACTCAAAAATTTAGAATGTCTGAAGATTGTTTAAAGATTCAATGTTTAATGGATATGTCTTCAAGCTCGGAGTTTTCTATGATTTGTAGGAATATGAAGACATTCTTCATGATATCCATGAATTATTAAAGTTGGGAGCTGTTTATCTGTATTTACCGGTCGCTGGAACTATCTAAACAATGAATAAAAATGATGAATGGTGAAAAAAATTGAAAATCCAACCGTCACCCGTATTTTTTATCTTATCTCAAGACGGGAATATTGACTCAAGACGAATAAACGTATCCAATGACGTATCCGATTATCATGATTATATTGAAATGTAGAATATCAATTCTTTAAATTGAGTTGT